AGCCACAAAAGACAAGTTATGTAGTATCACTCTTCAACCGCACTGAGAAGAATTAAGTAAGTTAGCAACGGAAGGAGGCTTCATGTGAAAGGCTGGGAGAAGATGCTTTCATATTGAGAGGAAAGGAATGAAGAATCCTTAGGAAATGATTATCAGACTGATAATTTGTAAGGAAGAAAATCCTCGCTTATGTGCCATTGTATAATCAGGGGAGGAAAACACCCCATAAAAAGAGAACTTAAAACCTTATGCTTGGTCTGACTATTTGGATTAAAGAAAAGAGCATATAAGTACTTTTGTTTCCCTATGGAAACTCCTTCTGAACTTCGCGCTTGATGTGGAGGAGAATGCAAAATTGCCCTTTGATGAGGCTGATAGAGCTTTGTAGAAATGGCTTGTTCGTATTGTTACGAAGAAGCAAAAAGTTGTGATTTGATGTTAATGCCTTATTTTACTGCTACAGAGGAAGTTGGACGTCAAGGCTTCTTTTTAATTTTTTCCCCTTTATCTTTCCTCCTTTCTCCGTTCCCTCCTTCCCCACCACTGCTGTTCCATATTAGCAGGCTTGAAACCCTGCATTCCCATTGGTCCGCTTGAACTGCTACCTGATTGGTCAGCCTGGACGGTTGTGATTGACTCACTAAGAGTCTGCCGTGATTGGTTAAATCCAAGCGCGGGAGACTCGAAGCAGCATCACTGGCCCGCCTAGCCTCGGCAAAGCTCTATAAAAGAGCCGCCGGTGCTGCTATTTCCCCCAGTCTGCTTTACCCTACTAATAAAGAGCTGTTGTTACCGAACCGAGTCTCTCGTCTCTGAACGCCGTCCTCCCGAACTTAACAACTGCTTTTCTATTTATTTTGTATTTTATAATAATCTCTCTCTATAAAAGTGAAATACCACTCACGCATTATCACAAAATCTCCAGAACTGTAAAGCCTACAAACTTGAAATTTGGCACGGATGTTTCTCTTGGCTTATTGAAAGGATTTTTCGAAATGACCATCAGAGCATTAGTATTTCCTATATTATTATTAACACGCTCTGATGCTAAGGAGTTCTACTCCCCCTCCCCACCTGAAAAGAAATCTGTTCCAAATGCAAAACACAAACAGAGGAGTTTCAGTTTCACAGCACCAAGCAGTTTTATTACAGAACAGTTGAGCTAAGCCTCGCCCAGGCTCCTTGCTGGCTCCTTCTTTCTCACATAGCAAATACTGTTTCGGTTTCCAAACAGCCCTCAACTCTCTCACACACTGACAGGACGCTGGTCAGATGAACATGGATGGATGCTGGTAGGCAGAGGCAGAATTTTTTCCCTCTTATTTTTCTCCCCCCAAAACTAAGCCTGACCGCATAGTTTTGTAGCGAAGCACAGGTATCGAGCTAGTACTTTATAATTCAATAAAAAATGTTGGCCATAAAAGACAACAACCCTTATGCTTGGTTAAAAACTAGGGAAATAGTAAACATGTGTGATGGGACTACTTTGGCAGCAGGAGCGGAAGAAACAAATACTGTGTTTCTCATATAATAAGGCCGGGTCTTATTTTTTTTTTTGAGCCCCGAAAAAATAGCTAGGCCGTCTTTTCGGGGGTGACTTAATTCCCCCCACCCTTGCATCTTCGGGCAGGCGGTGGCGACGGCTTGGATGTTGACCTCGGCGTTGGTGGGGCACTTTGTATCAGGGTCAACCCAGGCAGCACCATATCCGGGTGTGCAACAAAAGTACTTCCTAACGGCAAGCCCCCCCCGCCATTCCCCCCCATTTTGCATGTTTTAATATAGGCCTTAATTTGGGGGGAGGGGCTTCATTTCATTTCATGCCTATAAAACATGCTGGGACTTCCTATTGGGGGAGGCCATATTGTTGGAGAAACAGGGTACGTAAATCAATTGAGAAATTTTAAAAAAATTAAAGATAGAGTTCATAATCGGAAAGCTTCCAATGGACTTCTTATGCTGTCGCTGACCTGTAAAGGCATCAGCCGAGAGGACACGGATCTTATTGCGTCCAGAGACCCCATAGAGGAGGAACTTGTATCTGTGGGAAGGAGCCAAGTTGGTCACGGTGACTTCACGCAAGCCTCCGTCCACAGGCAACACTTGGGGTCGGCCATCTGCGTCCTTGTACTGGATGAGGAAAGAGTCAAAGGTCCCGGTGGGGACGGTCCAATAGAGATGGACAGAATTGCTAGTGACATCCAGGACAGATAATTCTCCCAAGGTTGGTTGGATGGAAATGGCCTCTTCTGAGTTGGTGGCTTGAGCTAGAACAGGGATATGGAAATAAAGGTTTTGTTAGAATGGCTTGTCAGAGATACCATCCAGCACAGTGGTGTGTTTCAAATTTTTTTTACCACCGGTTCTAGTGGTGGGATTCAATTTTTTTTTTACTACGGGTTCTGTGGGCGTGGCTTGTTGGGCGTGGCAGGGGAAGGATACTGTAAAATCAGGGGTGGGATTCAAATTTGGTAACAACTGGTTCTGTGGGCGTGGCTTAATTGGTGGGCATGGCTTGGTGGTCATGTTATTGTAATATCATTGAGGCACGCATCTCCTCGCCTGGCCTCTCATGACTGTGGGGATGCTGCAACAGTCATAAGTGTGAAAAATGGTCATAAGCCACTTTTTTCAGTGCCATTGTAACTTTGAATGGTCACTCCACACAAGCAAAGTACCCACAAAGGAAGGGAAAAAAAACTCCAGAGACGTTCCTGAGACAGGAAGTCTGGTCATGCGAAGAATTTAATAAGGAGAGGCAGTTTCTGTAAGCAACACCAGAATGTTTCCTTCCTGCCTTCCTTACAGGATTAGGCCAGTAATTTCTTCTAACAACTGGTTCTCCGAACTACTGAGAATGTTAACAAACAGTTCTAGCGAATAGGTGCCAACTGGTAGAATCCCACCCCTGTGTAAAATCTCCAGTCAGAGGTGGTATTTGCTGGTTCTCTGAACTACTCAAAATTTCTGCTACTGGTTCTCCAGAATTGGTCAGAACCTGCTGAATACCACTTCTGACTGGTTCGATGGGCTCGGCAGATCCAGGCCGAACCGGTAGAATACTACCACTGATCCAGCAACAGGAAGATTCATCAACAAGGCTGCTTATAAAAGGAACCAGTGATGACTCAAGAGCTGAAAAGTGACAGTCAAGGTGACCTGGGAAGCTGACCTGTGGTGGCATCGGTGGAGAGGGGCCCAGAGCGTTTGCGCCCGGAGACTCCATAGAGGTTGAACTTGTATCTGTGAGAAGGAGTCAGGTTGGTCACTGTGACTTCATTGGAGCCTCCTTCCACAGGCAACGCTTGAGGTTGACCATCTGCATCCTTGTACTGGACCAGGAAGGAGTCAAAGTTCCCAGTGGGGACCGTCCAATGAAGACGGACAGAATCGTTTGTGACATCCAGGACTGAGAACTCCCCCAGACTGGGCTGGATGGGAATTGGCTCCCCTGAGTCTCTAATGTGGGCTAAAGGAGAGAAATTTTAAAAAGGGTTAGTTATAAGAGCTTTGATGTTCGATATCAAATCCACAAACTGCAACATTCATTAAAAATTGTGGCTTGTTAAGGCAATCAAGAAAATTAATACAAAGTTAATGTCAGCTCTGAGATTCAGCTGCCAAGTATGAAAAGCGGATGGAGGAGTTGGAAAGTTCAAGGTATTCCGTATGTTGCATTAAGAAATTCTAGCTGCAGTTAATTGGTTCTCGTGATTAATGAAGTGTAGAAGTGGGAGGAGAGAAGGTGGATTTTGTGTAACACGCGAACATGACTTTCACTTTTGGAAATGCCTGCGAAGTGCCAGAGCTGTTCCTAATAAATCAGCTGGAGATTATATTGTCTCGGAGTGACTGATTACCGTGGATAATTTCTGGATGCCTAACTGTAAAAATATTTGAAATGTTCCAAATCCTGAGGCTGACCTGTGGTGGCATCGGTAGAGAGTGGGCTGGAGCGTTTGTGCCCAAAAACTCCATAGAGGTTGAACTTGTATCTGTGAGAAGGAGCCAGGTTGGTCACTGTGACTTCCTTGAAGCCTCTCTCCACAGGTAATGCTTGGGGTTGACCATCTGCATCCTTGTACTGAACCAGGAAGGAGTCAAAGTACCCAATGGGGACAGTCCAATGGAGTCGGACAGAATCACTTGTAGCATCCAGGACTGAGAATTCTCCTAGTTTGGGTTGGACAGGAATTGCCTCCTCTGAGTCTGTAAGGCGGGCTAAAAAATAAGGAAATAAAAGTAAAGACTGATTTATCATTGCCCGGGTTTTTGAGACAACATCCAAACTTCACTGGTTAAGAAAACCACGAATAGTAATATAGCAATAGTATAAGCGATAGCATTTAGACTTATGTACCACTTCACAGTGCTTTTACAAGCCCTGTCTAAGCAGTTTACAGAGTCAGCCTATTGCCCTCCAAAATCTGGGTCCTCATTTTGCCAACCTCAGAAGGATGGAAGGCTGAGTCAGCTTTCAGCCTGGTGAGATTCGAAATGCCAAATTGCAGGCAGCCGGCAGGTAGGGTCAACTAAAAAGATACTCCTTTGGGTTTTTTTAGCTGCTAGAAAAAGGGAGTGGGGGGAAACAAGGCATTCTTGAAATGCCTAGATAATCACCTTGGTAGCCCAAAGTTGTCGGAGCATAAGAAGGTTATTAGAGAGCATCATGGATGACTCTTGGAGACGGATGTGTCCCATTGGAGAGGTCACATCCAGGGGATGGGGGGAAGACCAGGGTCAGAGGGGAAATGTATGATGTGATTTAGTATCGGCTGCACCCAGCCATGCACCAACATGGCAATTTCTACTAAACCAATTTACTTTTTCTGAAAAGCGGTTAGAGACTTTTGATTTGAATGAGGGTGGATTTGTTGGAGCCCTGACAGGCAGCAGAAGTAGCCTGCAGTACTGCATTCCAACCACTGCGCCATCGCGGCCCTTATGAAATAATATCATTGGAAAACTCCCCCCTCCCGCCATGCCATATCCTGAAGCTGACCTGTGGTGGTATCGGTGGAGAGAGGGCTGGAGCGTTTGCGCCCAGAGACTCCATAGAGGGTGAACTTGTATCTGCGGGAAGGAGCCAGGTTGGTCACCGTGACTTCAGTGGAGCCTCCTTCCACAGGCAACGCTTGGGGTTGACCATCTGTATCCTTGTATTGGATCAGGAAGGAGTCAAACCTCCCAGTGGGGACCGTCCAATGGAGTCGGACAGAATCACTTGTGACATCCAGGACTGAGAACTCCCCCAGGCTGGGCTGGATGGGAATTGGCTCCCCTGAGTCTCTAATGTGGGCTAAAGGAGAGAAATTTTAAAAAGGGTTAGTTATAAGAGGTTTGATGTTCGACTTCCGGTTTGCAAGGCTTCGGCGGCGGCAGGAATCCGCGATCGTGCGAGGTTTCTGCCGCGCTCGCTGCTGGAGTGCCCCCAATCCAGTTGAATTTGGAGGCTATAGTTACCCTGTAGGGGTAGCTGAAGATAGGGGAGAGCCAGGCAGGGGTCCGGGGGAATCACAACCCCACTCCTCAGCCAGTTTAACTCCCTTCTCCGAAGGCGGTGGAGCTGCAGTCAGCAATGGCCACCACAAAGAAGCCTTCAGCTGGATAAGAATTGTGCAGAAGGAAGTTTGAAGTGAAAGTTACTGGCTGAACTGGGATAATAAATAACATCTAAACACCCTGGAAACTTGATTTCATGAAAGATACATTGTTGCCAAGAAGATCGTAAAAAGCGGTAGAAGAAAGTTAAAAGGGAAAGTTTATTTTCTCACTCTCCTTCTGTATGGAAATAGCAGATGGAAATCGGAAAAACCCTTTTTGGCATCAAGGTAATTAAATTTGAAAATTAAAGTCAAGGGGTCATTAAAGATTTCTGAACATTGGAATTAAGAGCTTTGATGTTCGATATGAAATCCATAAGCTGCAACTTTCATTCAAAATTGTTCCTTGTTAAGGAAACCCAGAAAATTAATACAGAGTTAAAGTATTTGAAATGTTTCCAAATCCAGAGGCTGACCTGTGGTGGCATTGGTAGAGAGCGGGCTGGAGCGTTTGCGCCCCAAAACTCCATAGAGGTTAAATTTGTATCTGCGAGAAGGAACCAGGTCGGTCACTGTGATGTCACGGAAGGCTCCCTCCACAGGCAACGCTTGGGGTTGGCCATCTGCGTCCTTGTACTGGATCAGGAAGGAGTCAAAGTTCCCAGTGGGGACAGTCCAATGGAGTCGGACAGAATCGCTTGTGACATCCAGGACCGAGAACTCCCCTAGGCTGGGTTGGACAGGAATTGATTCCCCTGTGTTGGTAGGGTGGGCTAAAACAGAGAGAGAGAGAGAAAGAAAAGGCTCACTCACAGTTCATTGATGTTGGAGTTTAATCTAGGTCCATGCTGGCGAACTTATGGCACGTGTGCCATAGGTGGCACGCAGAGCTTTCTCTGCACATGCATGCCGTCGCTCCGACTCAGCTCCACTGCGCATGCATGTGTGCCTCCTGCTGGCCAGCTCGACTTCGGGTCTCTGCTGTGCATGCATGGGATGTGTGTGGTATTCATAGGGCATGCATATTGGCCGACAGTTTGACACCCCTCTGCTAAATTATTGAAGCTCACCTGTGGTGGCATCGATAGAGAGAGGGCTGGAGCGCTTGCGCCCAGAGATTCCATAGAGATTGAACTTGTATCTGCGGGAAGGAGCCAGGTTGGTCACTGTGACTTCATTGGAGCCTCCCTCCACAGGTAACGCTTGGGGTTGACCATCTGCATCCTTGTACTGAACTAGGAAGGAGTCAAAGTTCCCGGTGGGGACGGTCCAAAAGAGACGGACAGAATTGCTTGTGACATCAACAACTGAGAGCTCCCCCAGGCTGGGTTGGATAGGAAGTGATTCCTTAGCATCTACCAAGGGAACTAAAATAGGGAACAGAAAGAAAAGGCTCAGTTATAACGTCCCTGGTCTTGGAAATGTGACCTAAGAGTTGGAACAATCAGTAAAATAGTCCACATTTGGGACAACCATGACCTGAATGACTGAGAATCTCCATAGACAATCAGTAAAAAGGTAACTTGTTAAGGGAATCAAGAATGTTAATTTGGAAGAATAATATCATTGTTCAGCCATGCTAAATACTGAAGCTAACCTGTGGTGGCATCAGTGGAGAGGGGGCTGGAGCGTTTGCGCCCAAAGATTCCATACAGGTTAAATTTGTATCTACGAGAAGGAGCCAGGTTGGTCACCGTGACTTCATGGAGGCCTCGCTCAACTGGCAAAGCTTGAGGTTGGCCATCTGCATCCTTGTACTGGATCAGGAAAGAGTCAAAGCTCCCAGTGGGGACAGTCCAATAGAGTCGGACAGAATCGCTTGTGATGTCAAGGGCTGAGAACTCCCCCAGGCTGGGTTGGACAGGATTGGTCTCCTCTGAATGTATATGGTGGGCTAAAACAGGAAAAAGAATGAAAAGTTAGAATTTCCCTGATATTTCAGATGCCACCCAAAGCTGGAACAATCAATACAAAAATTTCTTGTTAAAGAAATCAAGAACATTAACATAGAGCAGTGGTCTCCAAACATGACAACTTTAAGGCTTGTGGACTTCAACTCCCAGAATTCTCCAGTTGAAGTCCACAAGTTTTAAAATTGCCAAGTTTGGGGACCCCTCACATAGAGGAATAATATCTGAAGGGCCTCCAGCCATGTTAAATCCTGAAACTGACCTGTGGTAGCATCGGTGGATAGGGGGCTGGAGCGTTTGCCCCCGGAGACCCCATAGAGGTTGAACTTGTATCTGCGGGAAGGAACCAGGTTGGTCACAGTAACTTCACGGGAGCCTCCCTCCACAGGTAACACTTGAGGTTGGCCATCTGCACCCTTGTACTGGATCAGGAAGGAGTCAAATGTCCCAGTGGAGACAGTCCAATAGAGACGGACAGAATCAGTCTTGACATCAAGGATGGAAAATTCCCCTAGGCTGGGTTGGACAGGAATTGGCTCTTCTGGGATCTGAGCTGAAAGAGGGAAATGGAAAAGAAAAATGTTTAGTTCTAATGCCTGGCTGTTGATGATGTAACCTCAGAGCTAAAAGATTCAATAAAATGCTGCTTGTGAAGGAATGTTGATGTCAAGGTATAGGATGTTAATATGGAGATATAAGAGCTGAAAAATCCCGGCCACTCGGACTCTTGAAACTGACCTGTGGTGGCATCGGTGGAGAGAGGGCTGGATCGCTTGCGTCCAGAGACTCCATAGAGGTTGAATTTGTATCTGCGAGAAGGAACCAGGTTGGTCACCGTAATTTCATTGGAGCCTCCCTCCACAGGCAACGCTTGGGGTTGGCCATCTGCGTCCTTGTACTGGACTAAGAAAGAGTCAAATCTCCCAGTGGGGACCGTCCAATGGAGATGGACAGAATCCGTTGTGACATCCACAACTGAGAACTCCCCCAGGCTGGGTTGGACAGGAATTGGCTGCTCTGAATCTGTAAGGTGGGTTAAAATGGGAAAAATGGAAGAAAAGTCATATTTATATTAGTCTTGACGTTGGATATTCCAGAGTTCCCCAACCTTTCCGGATCGGCCGTCAGAGTTGGGTGAAAGAGGGGATGGTTTTGTGGGAGGGATAGGCGCACGCATGGATGTGAAAACCCATTGCTCACGTGAGTGGGGCTGCGAGTGCGTGAATGGGCTATGAGTGCCCGTGTGAGTGTGGACCAGAATGCCAACGACCCTCACAGTAATGCTCGTGTGAGAGCAGCTGGCAACACCCACGATGCTTGCATGTCTAAGGCTGTGCTTGCGTACACACACACACATGCACCGGCCAACTACCATGTTTCTCATATAATAAGGCCGGGTCTTATTTTTTTTTTGAGCCCCGAAAAAATGGCTAGGCTGTCTTTTCAGGGGTGACTTAATTCCCCCCCCTTGCATCTTCGGGCGGGCAGCGATGTCTTGGATGTTGACCTCAGCGTTGGTGGGGCAGTTCGTATCAGGGTCAACGCAGGCAGCACCATATCTGGGTATGCAACAAAAGTACTTACTAATGGCAAATCCCCCCACCATTTCCCCTCATTTCACATGTTTTAATATAGGCCTTAATTTGGGGGGAGGGGCTTAATTTCATTTCATGCCTATAAAATATGCTGGGATCTCCTATTGGGGGAGGCCGTATTGTTGGAGAAACAGGGTACTCATGCCACCCGATGGCCAATAGGTCGTGGCCCACAGGTTGGGGGCCCCTGGGATATGCTAGCCAGCAGTTGAAACATTCCGCAAATATGTTATTTCTTAACAAAAGCAGTAAAGCAGTTAATATAATGTTACAATATCTTAAGATCCCCCCAGCAGAATGTCTCCTGAAGCTGACCTGTGGTGGCATCAGTAGAGAGCGGACCAGTGCGTTTACGCCCAGAGATGCCATAGAGGTTGAATTTGTATCTGCGTGAAGGAACCAGGTTGGACACGGTGACTTCAGTGGAGCCTCCCTCCACAGGCAACGCTTGGGGTTGACCATCTGCATCCTTGTACTGGACTAGGAAAGAGTCAAAGCTCCCGGTGGGAACGGTCCAATGGAGACGGACAGAATCACTCGTGACATCACGGACTGAGAACTCTCCTAGGCTGGGTTGAGGAGGAGTTGCATTCTCTGAGCCTGCAAAGTGAGCTAAAACATGGGAGAAACGTGGTAAATGGTGGAAGCAGCAGTGATGCTTCCTTTTTATAGTTCTGAATTTTCTAAACACTTCAAAACACAAAATAAAATATAATTCGGGGAAGAAGAAACTTTTGAAGGTGAAGGACTTTAAAATTTTCCAGGGTAAATTTTTATCGGGAATAAATCCTGCCTTTCTTCTGAGCTTACTTGGGTGAAAAGTAATACAGGCAGTTCTTGCTTACTGACCATTCATAAATGGATATACAGGATACCTTAAAAAGTATTACTGTATATTCCTCATGGAAAGGGCCATTCACTGATAAGCAGGATCCAATTTTGGGGTGTATTTTTGGCAACTTAAAACTCTTGGCTTAACCGTGAGCATATTTACATTTGATTTGATTTGTCAATCGCTTACAAGATATAGGTATAAGAATAAATATAGTTGGATGGAAAGTCCCAGTTCATACAAGTTCCAAAACTGAAAGACGAACAACACAAAAAAAATCTAAATCTGCTAGTCTGGAATTCAGCACAATGAATTTTTCTACGTGGTCACCTAATTTTTTTCAAAGATCACAGGCAAAACTTTGAAAAAGGAATCAAGCTGAACTTAAGTTCCAATACAAAACAAAGTGACTAGCATTCGGTCTCTCAATCTCCCTTCTCTGTAAGAAAGTCTACAAGGGACTCAACAGTTTATACTTGAAGAGGGAACTACCATCTGATACTCTCACACAGATGAAATAAAAAGCCATTTCATTCCCACAATAGCAGGAGATAAACTCATTGTTTCCAGGTTAACAAACTCAGTGGTGGGATTCAACTGGTGTTACTATCGATTCAGTGACTACATTTTGCTGCGCGCGCATGTAAAAAAAATATTTAGCTGTGCCACCCGGACAGCTGAAAAGCGCTGTGCGCAGCTTTTGGAAAGCCTTTTTTTTTCCTGCTTTTTCAACCTCAGCTGTGCCGCGCAAAGCAGCTGAGGTTGAAAAAGCAGGAAATAAAGGTCAGGTAAGAGCCAGCGTGGGTGAGTGGGCCAAACAGCAGCAGACACAGAACTGGTTCTGTGTCGGTTGCTCTTTAGAGCTACCGGTTCTACAGAGCCGGGCAGAACCGGTAGCATCCCACCCCTGCTTTTAAGATTTGTGGACCTCAACTCCCAGAATTCCTCATACTTGCTGAGGAATTCTGGGAGTTGAAGTCCACAAGTCTTAAAGTTGTTAAGTTTGGAGACCTTTGGTCTAGTATAGAAGAATGGGAATGTTTATTTTATTTATATCCTGCCTTTATCATTTTTGTAAACAACTCAAGGTGGCATACCTAATATCCCTGCTCCTCCTATTTTTGCAACAGTAACAAAAACAACTCAATGAACTCAAGGTTGAAAAGTGTTCCCCAGTGGAAATAGATTGCAATTGGAGCAGCAAGAAGTAAGATAGATAGACTGGTAGACAGACAGATATGGAGGGAAGCAGGCAGACAAACAGACATGAGAGAGAGAGAGAGAGAGAGAGAGAGAGAGAGAGAGATTAATGGCTAAAGACTTTTGGACATGTAACTCTAATATGCACTTAGAGCTTGATAATTTGATTGGAAAAAGAATCCTCCTCATTGCTCTGGTGCATCATAGGAAAGAAATGGATCATTCAGTCACAAGCTGATTGTGTGACTTCTCAAAATCACGGCTATAAAATCAGGCGCAAAACAACAAAGCGAAGAAAAGCAAAGGTCAAACAGGAAAGGAAAAAAATCACTAAATGTATGAAGAAAGTTTCACAGTGGGAATATGAAACAAGGAGCTGCAAAACAGGGGAACCATCTCGCAGATCGATGCTGCCAACTGAGGGAAAAGAATGTGAAAATGAGCCTGCAATTTCTGAAAGGCTAAGTCGACTCCCGAAGCTGACCTGTGGTGGCCTCAGTAGAGAGAGGGATGGAGCGTTTATGCTCAGAGACTCCATAGAGGTTGAACTTGTATCTGCGGGAAGGAGCCAGGTTGGTCACTGTGATGTCACGGAAGGCTCCCTCCACAGGCAATGCTTGGGGTTGACCATCTGCATCCTTGTACTGGATGAGGAAGGAGTCAAAGCTCCCAGTGGGGACAGTCCAATAGAGACGGACAGAATCGCTTGTGAAATCCAGGACCGAGAACTCCCCCAGGCTGGGTTGGATAGAAGTGGTCTCCCCTGAATGGGTAAGGTGGGCTAAAATGGAGGAAAAAGGGGGAAAAGGTTTAGTTATAATTTCTCTGCTCTTAAAGGTATCACTTAAGAACTGGAACAATCAGTAAAGAGATCTCTTGTTGAGGAAGTCAGCAATATGTTAATATGGAAGAGTAACATCTGAAGAACCCCCTGTCAGGATTCCGGCAGTTGCCCTAATTAAATCATGAGCCTCGATCCAAGCTTCAAAAACTTCAAAGGATTTATTAGGAGCGAACATGTCGGCATGCCCTGTATAAAGCCGATTCTGAGACATGTAATTCACTGTCACCCTTGACCCTGGTTTTCCCCCACTCCTCTGGGTGTATCGTAATTCATATTCTCTGTGCTGACCCAGGGCGTGGCACGAAAGCAACAAAGTCACAAAAGTTGGTAAAGTCCCTTTAATTCCTCCAACTTGGCCTCCAATGTCCAGTTACGGCTGGAGAAAACATTCTCCCAACAACAGTTTTTAAAGGGAAGAAATTTAGTCTGAACCAAAAGTACATATAAATTATAAATAAAAACCAACACAAACCACACTGCAGCAATTAATGAGACAGTGCAGAATAAGGAATTGTAGAACTGAAAAGATAACGAGACACACACAGTAGGAGGACGCCAGACCCCAGATAGGACTTGACAAACAAAGATAATGCATGTTTTGCTTCCAGCAAGGTTCTGTGTGTGAACACCTTCTTTATCCTGCTTCCCCAGCTGCAGCTAATGAAGGGAATCAGGGCCTTTTTCTCCCCCGTAACCCACATTGCTCCCTTATCCATTTCTCTCTGCATACCCTCCTAGGATGCAGAGTGGGTGGGCCTGGGTCTTCCTCTGAATGCCCAGCCAGACTATACCCTTCCTCAGTTTCCTCTACAGCCACCGGAGCCACACTCCCACTCCCTGTCAGCTGTCCGACCTCCCCCTCAGAATCAGATTCCAACAGGGGCATGACATTCTCCAATGAAACACGATCATAAGCCAAGAGCCATCAATCAGGTTCTCCAATTAGAGATTTGCGCTGCAGAAATTTTGGTAGCTTAGTTATAATCTTTGCAAGATAAGAGTGGAATGCACTTTTGGTTCCAAACTGTTGCACTGCTCTTTCAAATTTCTTTCTGCCCCCTCCCCCTTCTGTTCATGGCAACTATAAAACAGGCATAGAAATGTTTTATGAGTTGACACCCCTATCACATTGTATGATGAAGCTGACCTGTGGTGGCTTCCGTGGAGAGGGGCCTGGAGCGTTTACGCCCAGAGACTCCATAGAGGTTGAACTTGTATTTGCGAGAAGGAACCAGGTTGGTCACCGTGAGTTCATTGGAGCCTCCCTCCACAGGCAATGCTTGGGGTTGGCCATCCGCATCCTTGTACTGGACAAGGAAAGAGTCAAAGCTCCCGGTGGGAACGGTCCAATGGAGATGGACAGAATTGCTTGTGACATCCAGGACTGAGAATTCTCCTAGGCTGGGCTGGACATCAATAGCCTCCTTTGAAACTGTAATGTGGAAGGGGAGGGAGGAAGGAAAGGAAAGGTTTAGTTAAAATTACACTGATGTTGTAGATGCAGTCCAGGAGTTCTAATGTTCAGCAACTTAGCGATTTGTAAAGGAAATCAGGAATGTTAATATGATGTTAGACTATCTTAACATTTCCCAGGTAGAAGGTCATCTGAAGCTGACCTGTGGTGGCATCTGTGGAGAGAGGGCTCGAGCGTTTGTGCCCAGAGATGCCATAGAGGTTGAATTTATATCTGCGTGAAGGAACCAGATTGGACACGGTGACTTCATTGGAGCCTCCTTCCACAGGCAACACTTGGGGTTGGCCATCTGCATCCTTGTACTGGATCAGGAAAGAATCAAAGTTCCCGGTGGGGACAGTCCAATGGAGACGGACAGAATCACTCGTGACATCAAGGACTGAGAATTCTCCAAGGCTGGGTTGGACAGGAATTGGCTCTTCTGAGTTTCCAGGGTGAGCTAAAACATGGAAAATAAAGAAAATGCTTACTTGTAATTTCACTGATCGTGGAGATGCCATGCAAAAGCTGGAATAGTCAATAATAATGGTTGCTATATTACCAAAATCAAATCCCCAACTAAGCTAAATCCTGAAGCTGACCTGTGGTGGCATCAGTGGAGAGGGGGCTGGAGCGTTTGTGCCCAAAGACTCCATAGAGGTTGAACTTGTATCTGCGGGAAGGAACCAGGTTGGTCACTGTGACTTCACGGGAGTCTCCCTCCACAGGCAACATTTGGGATCGGCCGTCTGCATCCTTATATAGGATCAGGAAGGAGTCATAGGTCCCAGTGGGAACGGTCCAATGGAGGCGGACAGAATTGCTTGTGACATCAAGGACTGTGAAGTCTCCTAGGCTTGGTTGGACAGGAATTGCCTCCTTTGAGTCTATAATGTGCGGAGAAGAAAGAAAGAAAGAAAGAGAGAGAGAGAGAGAAGGAAGGAAGGAAGGAAGGAAGGAAGGAAGGAAGGAAGGAAGGAA